TGGGGCCATCTTAAATCTTTAGTTTACACTACTCCAGTGGAAAATGTGGAAGATTTGCGAAATCGTATAACTCAATAAGAAACGATCCTGGTGTTTTGGAAAGGGGTCGGTAGTCAATGAAGGGAAGATTGAATTCTTGCATCTTAGCTGAAGGTTGTCATTTTCAACAGTTATTGTAGATTAGGAAGCTTATATTTGTAATTTTTATTAATAAGATGTTGTTGAAATCTTGGTTCATGCTGTATTTTCGAAGCAAATCGGTATTTCAAAAATTATCAAAGGATAAAATATTCGTAGAATAGTCGGGAAGGCACTTGAAAGGCTATGTGAAAGATATATAAGAGAAACGACACTGGAAAGGTTTCCCCTGCACCAAAACCAGCATGCATACACTCTGGGAAGATCAACAGAAACGGCCCTACAAGAAATTGTAGGAGTTATCGATAGATTTTTGGACTATAAAGAGTCCACTCTCGGAATGTTGATAGATATCGAAGGAGCCTTTGACAGGAAAGCTTTTCATACAATTAACAAAGCCCTTAGAGACAAAGGAGTCCAGCCTGCAATAGTGGACTGTATTCTAAATATGCTCTCAAAAAGGGCCGTCCATAGTGTAATTGAAGCTAATAATAATAATAATAACGACAATAAAATAAGAGCGATCGTTGAACGAGGATGTCCGCAGGGTGGGGTTCTATTACCCCTGCTGGGGACTCTCACCCTGGACAACCTTCTAAGACAACTCTCAGCTGAAAAATTTTATGTCTGCACTTATGCAGACGATCTAGCCGTTTGGGTTCACGGGAAGTTAGAAAACGTCCTATGTGACCGAATGCAGGCTGAACTGAGAATAATCGAACGCTGGTGTCGAGACAATTCTCTGTAGGTAAACTCGAATAAAACAGAGATGGTCCTATTCACAAGGAAAAGGAGGCTTTGCAAAGTTCCTTTGCGCTTTGCCAATGAAGTGAAGTATCTGGGGTTAACCCTGGATAAAATGTTGACTTAGAGACCGCACATCGAAGGTAAGATAAATAAGGCACGCATTGCGTTCGCTCAGTGCAAAAGAGCCGTTGGGACCTCCTGGGGTTTAACACCCAAAATATCCCTGTGGATATACATTGCAGCGATACGTCCAATGTTAACTTACGGCGCCGTAAGCTAGTGGCCAAGAGCTAAAGGCTTGTCTCTACGTTACAGGCTCGATGATAACCACTCCAACAGCAGCAATGGAGAATGTACTGTGCCTTACTCCTCTCAATTATCACGTTGGTGGTGATGGCAACAATGATCCAGCTGCGAGCAGCTAACGATAAATGGCTACATAAATGTGGAAAATCAACTTGCCAGCTATGGGAAGAGGCATGTAGCAAACAGCCGCTCCTGAATGGTAGGGTACATACGATTCCAACGCGTTTTATCTTCGAACGACCGTATGAAATAAAGGTAGGAAAATAATCCATGCTTAAAACCGCACCATGAAACTGTCCTCCAATTATGGGTGGACGGATCTCGTACGGAAACTGGCTCTGGTGCTTCGGTAGGAATTTGGCCCACCCCGTTCCAAGCGAAGCTGGTGGCCACTTCTCTGCCAACTGAGGAAATTTCCAAGAAAATTAGTAACAAAAAAGTTATAATATATTCTGATTGCAGGCAAGCTCTCCTCTCGCTCGGGCGGTATCGCTGTTCATCCTCGTTGCTTGAGAATTGTCATAACAATCTTTGTGAGACAGCCGCTAGCAATGAGATTACGATCTGCTGGACATAGGATCATTCGGGAAATAAGTTTCATGGCATGGTGGACAAACTGGCAAGGAAAGCTGCAGGCGAACCTCCGGGGTCGCCAGAACCATTCATTGCCACAACAATAAGATTACTTAATAGAGCTTCAAAAAGAGGAAACACGTAAGAAGTTTCTAAACTACTGGAACAGGACACCAGGATGTCGCCAAGCCAAGGAGACTCTGATGTACCCTGGGCCTAAACGACCGATTTATTTATGAGGCTGTCCAGAATGAACCTACGTTTGGTCATAGATCTAATCACTATACACTGACATCTACAGAAGCACTTACTGAACATGGGAATAAGTGACACCGACATCTGCAGAGCATGCGGTGAGGAGGAGGAATCGGCGGAACACATTCTATGCGACTGCGTGGTCCTCCAAACATTAAGGTTATCCATTTTTGGAGATATCCAGATTCGCATGAGTGAAATCAGGGCAGCATAACCAGGACCAATTCTAGCCTTTGCCTCCAAGGTAATATGGCTGGAAGGACCCTAATGCATCAGTATTAAAAGAGGGAAGTAAGTACAAGGGATCTGCTGAGGTTAAAGTGCTGCGGGCGGTTCAGCCTGCATTCCCGCGAATCCAGAATCCATATCCCGTCATAAAAATAACAAAAAATGGCTAAAGTTGTGAAACATTTATTATTATAACAAATAATTGTTTAACACAATGTTTTTTTTTTGATAATGAAAATTGCTTTAAAAATCAGTTATAATTATTCGTCGTCTAGTTCATAATCTAAGAAAAGGTTTTTTGGATTGTTGACCGTAAGACTTTTTATTTTTGGGAAGGAGGTGTAAAATTTAGCAGCTTGCGGATTGACTAGAAATTTTGCCAAGTGTTTTAGTCATTGTACTTAGCAATATTGACTGGTAGGGGAAAGTCGTAGGAGTATATAAGCTGACATCTTATTGTTGGCTTCCCTTTGTTTTTACCTCTCGCTGGAGATTACCATATAACATTTTCCTTCATTTAGTTTCCAAAAAAGGATTCATTTAGGTTGCGGTAAAAAATAAATTAATCTTCATCCTTGTAGAATTTTAATGCACCGCACAGCCAGAGTTGGAAAAGGGTATTTAAGATTATAAATAGGTTTCAAAAAGTTAATCCAAGATTTCAATAAAGTCTAATCGCAATTAATAACTCGCTATGGTGTTGGTTTAGTTCTGCTATTTCTTATTACCTCCCTCCACTCTTCAGGTAGTTCAACATTGCCTTTTTGGTTGATGAAACTCATGTTCTCGTCGCATTCAATGTAAGAGTGACGTTGGAAACAATATTTTGACACAATCTCATCGTCGTTTTTTTTTGAAACCAGATAATGGAGATAGGAAAATACGGTATAATTTATAATTTGCACGAATCACAAAAAAATTACAAGTTCTTGAACTGTCTCAGAAAGGTAATGATTGATAAAATGATCCAACGTTGAACATACGTCATTACTTCCTTTCTTCGCAACAGTTTCAGCGTACGTATAGAATACCGTAATAAACTTACCGAAATAAATATCACTCGTAGTGAAATTGTATGCAAATTTTTGGAATGTATTAGAATAGCTTCTATTGTGTTTAACCTGAGGAATTTTTTCTAAAGAACCTTTCAAAGGAATAAAATTTTTCTGCTTTCTTTAAATGAAGGTTATGGTCAACTTCGAGATTGGACAGATTTTTATTTTCTCTACTTGACACTGTTTACTAATCCTGTAAGAGAAGCCTTTTGAATCCTGAAAGCATTGCAGATACTGAATGTGTCTTTCCTTGGGTAGCCAAATTAGAGTTATTATTAAATTTAGCCCTGAAAGTGTCGTAAGACACGTGATTTTCAATGAGGAGACATCCCATGAAATTTCGAAATATTTAAGTTTTCAGGTAAACAAATTTTATTCGTATCTTTAAGGTAAGAGTAGTGTGAGTTACGACCTCTCAAAGACTTGATAAAATCATTAATAAGAGTGATAGTATCATTAATGTGTTTATGTAGTAGTTCTCCCTCAAACTTTGCTGAATAGTTTGAACCCTACGACACAGAATAACCAGAAAGCACACTGGGGGTACCCCGCCAACATTCGATCTGTGCGGCGACGCCATGTTTTATAGAGTGCACCAAGTCGTATGGGAGTATTCTTATTCTTTCTACTTGCTTCTTATTTTGAAATGCATTTTAAGAGGACTGTAATTTGTTTTGCTCCTTACACTTTCTAGATATCGATAGTATAAACCAATACCTCATAAACCAACAAATGGCACTATTAGTTTACTTTCGTCTTAAAATGGACTATCATCGTTTGATAGTCCATTTACCCCATGATCTACCTTTAAATGTTAGCACTAATAGATAGAATCCAACTCGGATTATTCCCCAAGATGCTGTATTCCATGTTCATAGATAAACTCGGGGGACGCACCGCTTAACTCGAATGTTTCCAGTTCTAAATCTAGTGCTAGTGTTAGCTCTAGTTTAAGTTGTTTTTCAGCGTATTGAGTTGTATATTTTTATTGAATTAAAAGTGCAACTAACTAATAAAGAACGTAACGGTGTGAATAGTTAGTGTGAATTAAAATTGTTCATTCAAACAGATTAAAGTGTAAATTAAAAATGTTTCATATAACTGACTTTTGGCTATAAAGGACACTCCCTTTCCCGTATTAATCCGTAATATCGCGATTTTATTGTAGTTTTTTTTTTTAATTTTTTATGTATAATTAATTAAAAAATAAAATATTGAAAACAGCTTTACTACATTGTAATAAACATGTTGGTTTGTATTTAGAGCACACGAGATTCGGTATTACCGTGTTAATAATAGCACCAATATATTTAACAGTAACCCATAGAGCCGTCGGTGAAACAATTCGCGGATAATGTTGTAGTTATTTTATAGCGGGTGGTCGGTAGCGGCGGGCGGTGGTGGTGGCGTTCCGACGCCGATCCGGGTTCGGGCGCCGGGACGCTCTGAATTAACATATTATGCAGATTATCGCCGTGCAGCTCCGGTTAACTCGCCCGTAATTAAATTAAATCATACAATTGAAATAATCTGCGGTAATAATTTACTTGTAGTTTATCGCCCGTGAAATTCGGCGCCGCGACGCCACCGACGCCGACGCCGCCGGTCCTCCCGGAATTCACCTCGCCCCCAACTATTACCGACTCAGAAATTGCGGTATACCCCACGGAATATGACACATTTTGAGGGAAACCTTACCTTTTATCCCCTTTTATCCGCAAATTGATGTCGTCTTTGGACGAACCACCACCTGCAACAAAAAAAGAAAGACGTTGACGTTAAATTTCGTTGTTAAATTCAATAAAAAATAAGAGCCTGAAAAGCAATCGAACGTCTCAATCGTTGAATGATTGATGCCCCTCAGTACCAATTACTGAAATATGGCAAAAACTGGTCGCGGTACGCGACTTAATACGCTGAAGAATCCGGTACAACAACCGGAGGCGGCTGGAAGAGTACACCGAACACGCGTTGCATAAAAAAAGGGGCATATTCTCGATATCTTTATTACAACCAACGGGTGTTATAAATCATTTTAGAGACGTTTGATGACCAACTGCTTTAATTTTCTTTTCGTGAAAAAAATTTATTACATTAAATAATGAGATAAGACAACTAAAAATTTTAAATCAAAACTTCTAATTAAAACTAACCACAATTATGAAACCAGTATGCCTTATTAACTATAAAACAATTCAAAAATCAAAATCAACATAAATAATTGTGTTATAAATCGTATATATTATTATTATTATAATACAGGTGCATCAAATGTCTGGAATGTAACCAATAACTTCGCCATTTGTGGTTTTAAAGAAAAATGTTTCAAATAAAAAATTCCTTATTAATAGTGGCACATTTTTTGGCGATACTTGCTTGTTTACATTGTTCTTTGTTTCGTTGCTATGGCAACCAACATTAGTTTAAACGGGATACATGTTTTTTTTGCACATTTTAATACAGGATAAATCCCTCTACGCGATGAACATATCAAATCATATTATGGTTGTATTAGAAAAAAAATCGAGAAAAATGCGTTTTTTTAAAGTCTTAAATCAGCTCATTAGATTTTAGACATTTTTCTAAACTTTTTGTGATACTTTTGACATATCTAAACTTTGTTATAAACCATAATGCTTTTTCAACATTTCTGCCAATATTTATATTTTTGAATCATAATGCCTTTTGACATATAGTTTTTTTTCTATAATACTTGTCATGGCAAATTTTTGGCAGTAACAAGCGGTGTTCCACAAGGTTCTGTGTTGGGTCCTATCTTATTTTCTTTATATACTTCGCAATTCAGCAAATTTATTCAGTTTTGTATGATTAACTCTTATGCAGATGGTACACAACTGTACGCTTCTTATGTGGATGCGGATAGTGATGTTGTTGAATATAATATAAACAAAGATCTTGAAAAAATATTTACTCTTGCTTCTTACCATCACTTAAAAATAAACCCTGACAAATCTATGTGGATGTGCTTTAGTAGTCAAAAGCATGTTGCTGTTCCTGACTAGGCTATTAAGTTGAATGATACGTTAATTAAAAGAGTTTCAGAGGCTAAGTGTCTTGGTTTGATTTTAGACAATAATTTTAGATTTAAGCAACAGATTGCAATGTATATAAAAGATCTTAATGCAATTTGCGAATTCTCTATCCGCATCGGTCATATCTGCCCATAAAAGTGAAAATAAGTTTGTGTGACGCATTTTAGCTTTATGTCTGCTATATATCATGGCGCTATTGACGCGGTTATTTCGCGAAGTATACAGAGGGTACAAAACAGTTGTCTTAGATTTATCTATGGAATTCGAAAATTTGAAAGAATTTCTTGTAAACTTAAAGAGGCTGGTTGGTTGAATATGTGCAACAGGAGGGGGTTTTACAGTTTGATTCTATTCCACAGAATTGTGGTCCCTAGAATTCCGGAATATCTATATCATAAAATTATATTTAAACCACAGCTTCGTCAAACCAGGTCGGGAGTCAGTTTCTATTCGCCGAGATTTAGAACTTCAATGTTCCAACGATCGTTTACGTATCATGTTTACAAGTCATACGGATCTTTACCAATTGTGTTGTGACAGTTGTATTTTTTTTTTCTGTTTTATCTTTGTTCTTTATCAGAACTAAGGAGATTAATGCTTTGTCAGCAGTCAGCGGATGTCAGTTGATTCTCATCTGAATTGAGTTTTTTTTTTAATTATTTTCTATTGCAGGTTCTACAAGGGCAGCCTTATCAGGTTGTTTTTCTTTTTTTCTTTCCTTTTCTTTTTCTTTTCTGTTTATTCTGTTGTATAGACCAGATTTTTCTGGATCTCGCCGTTGGTATCTCGATATATATCTTGTTTTTATTTTATTTTAATTTACTATAACACATTGGGATATCGTTGTTTTCATTTATTTTAGCTTTTTATTGCAGATAATGTTTACTTTTAAAGAAACTTTGACCCGCTATATCTCGTTAAGGAGGCATTTTTGATGTATTACCTGCCCTAGAAGTCTGTCAGCGGTTTTTTGAATCACCCTGTATATCCTGTTTATTATAATAGGTCTTGCAATAGGCCCAAACTAGATCAATTGCATTATGCTGACAATGATAAGGAGCAAGTTACAAAACTTCATTATTATTCTGCAGAACATCATCGATTAAAAATTGTATTAAACCCTTTTCTTTGATGATCGCGTGGGTTTTTCATTTATCACTACATTTTTGTCAGATAAATTTTGCAATGCTAGAATCAGATTTTTGTTGACCCAATTCTAAAAGATTTGGAAATTAATCGTCTTGTGGTAATCTTTGGCAGTATTCTTGCTACTAAAAAGTAACAAGCAATTTTCTAAAAAGCCCCCTCTGTAACCTGCACGTAGTACAGTAAACCTATCTCCTTCACTTTTTATTTTAATGTTAATCGAACGTTTATCATCGTCTTTTATCTATCTACGTAATTCAGAACTAGTCTTATATATCAAAGTTTCGTCTAAATATATGAAATTTATAAATACTAAAATACATTAAATATTTTACAAAGACGAATGATTAGTTCTTGTTCTGAGATATCAGGCTTCAAATCCGTAAGTTCCAATTTGCACCTTAGTAACGCTCGGTTTACTTCGACTTCCAATAAGTTGCGTCTTTCTTGCGTTCATTTTATATTAATTTTATTACTTGTAACTTTTTGAATAACGAAAGCTCAAACAAACGTCAGTGTGACATACTTATTTCAAAACATGATAAAACAAAACTCCCTGTTAANCTTTTATATCCTACATTAATAAAATTCAGCATATCGCTATAATTTAACATAACAAACATTTTATCTTAATCAACTTTTGTTGTACATTGCTCAGAAAGGCCACTTTACCTGCAACAGTTAACAAACTTCTTGCGTTAACTTTGGTACTTTGAGGACATTTGACGTAAAGCTTGGTTATATTTTGTTTTATGTCATCCAGACTTTAATTGCAAAAGATGGAATTTGAATTCCAAAATTTATCGTCAATTATACCTTACGGGGACACAATCCGGGAACACACTGTATATATCTTGTTTTTATTTTATTTTAATTTACCATAACACATTGGGATATCGTTGTTTTTATTTATTTTAGCTTTTTATTGCAGATAATGTTTACTTTTAAAGAAACTTTGATCCGCTAGATCTCGTTAAGGAGGCATTTTTGATGTATTACCTGCCCTAGAAGTCTGTCAGCGGTTTTTTGAATCGCCCTGTATATTCCTTTAGTTTTACTTTTTATTGTGTACATGTATCTATATATATATATTTTTTATTTTTCTCTTCATGATGTATTACCTGCCCTAGAAGTCTGTCAGCGGTTTTTTGAATCACCCTGTATATTCCTTTAGTTTTACTTTTTATTGTGTACATGTATCTATATATATATATATTTTTTTTTATTTTTCTCTTTGTTCTATATGGGATACAATAAAGTCATATTATTATTTGTTTTTCTCTTTGAAGGACATCGTTGAATCGTTGATATGTTTATTATAATAGGTCTTGCAATAGGCCCAAACTAGATCTATTGCATTATGCTGACAATGATAAGGAGCAAGTTGCAAAACTTCAATATTATTCTGCAGATGATTTTCTGATCATCTGATCTTTCTTTGATGATCGCGTGGGTTTCATTTATCACTACATTTTTTCCAGATAAATTTTGCAATGCTAGAATCAGATTTTTGTTGACCCAATTCTAAAAGATTTGGAAATTAATCGTCTTGTGGTAATCTTTGTCAGTATTCTTGCTACTAAAAAGTAACAAGCAATTTTCTAAAAAGCCACCTCTGTAACCTGCACGTAGTACAGTAAACCTATCTCCTTCACTTTTTATTTTAATGTTAATCGAACGTTTATCATCGTCTTTTATCTATCTACGTAATTCAGAACTAGTCTTATATATCAAAGTTTCGTCTAAATATATGAAATTTATAAATACTAAAATACATTAAATATTTTACAAAGACGAATGATTAGTTCTTGTTCTGAGATATCAGGCTTCAAATCCGTAAGTTCCAATTTGCACCTTAGTAACGCTCGGTATACTTCGACTTCCAATAAGTTGCGTCTTTCTTGCGTTCATTTTATATTAATTTTATTACTTGTAACTTTTTGAATAACGAAAGCCCAAACAAACGTCAGTGTGACATACTTATTTCAAAACATGATAAAACAAAACTTCCTGTTAATTTTGCCAAGTTACAAGAATTTGACAGATATAGAAAAAATCCAACAGTATTTCAATTTTTGACTATAATGATAGTTTTTGAATCTTATAGTAACTTGTAAAATAAGTTAGAAAGGTATCACATCCTTTTCACCTTATTTTACATTAATGATACTTTTTGACATTTCAAGGTACCTTCTGACATGTTTGATACCTTTCCAGTATATTGTATTTCAGATAGCAAAATATATGTAATAGACATTTGGCATTTTTGACAACTTCAGACGCACGGCTTTACCCGAATATTTCTAGTTTTAGGTTTAGTGTTACTTCTAGTGCTAGTGTTAGGTCAAGCTATAGTTGTTATTCAGCGTTAGATTGTTGTATATTTTTCATTTAACTAAAACCAGAACTAACACTACACCTAGAACTAGAAATATTCGGGTTTAGCCGTCTTACGAGACGCACGGCTGAACCTGAATGTTTCTAGTTCTAGGTCTCGTGTTAGTTCTAGAGCTAGGGTTAGCTCTACAACAAATTAAGATAAGTAAACAGT